GTAGGCTCATAACACGTGAGTGTTCGTGTTATGGCAGAGTTTCGAATGGGCAACAGTAGGTTTCTGCCATGCCCGGTTGGGGGATGGCAGCCTCTCTCGCCAGTTGTCTGCCCAGAGAGAAGTACCGCCCGTGACCGAGGTTCGAACCGGTGACGATGCGCGTTGCAACTTTATTACTTTAATTAACACTCTAAATGGCAATTCATTTCTTTTTTTTTTGTAAAAAATAAACAATGCACTAACACAAATATACCATTAACATACATATATCTGTTTAATATTCTAAGTTTATTTATTTGGCTTAAATAAATACATAAAATTTAGTAACACTTACACAATAAGTATATAATTAATTACAGTATAAAGATAATTATAAAAATAAAGCAATTAATAATTTAATAAATTAATATGCTACATTATCTATACCTCTTACATGTAAGATTATATGTACATTTCATATTATATTTTAACTATCTAAAATTAACAAATTGGCTAAGAAAAATAATTTATTTTTATAATTTTTAAAAGTTTTTCAATCTGTTAAAATACAGAACAATAAAAACATTGATGAAAATAAATAAAAATTGACTAGTTATAAATCAATTAGTATTCAGGTTTTGCTAATTATATGTGGTTGCCAAGGGAGTTGATAGTTTATAAGGATACCGAGGTAGTGCACACACTGGATAGAAGGAAGTAGATGGTTATTGAAGTAAAGTAGGTAAGGACATATTCTGAGGCAAAGGGTTAAGGTACAGTGAATGAATTAAGTTTCAATAATTTGAACCCCTCATCTTTTGGACCACATTTCAAGGCTTTTTAATGATCTTGTATGTATGAAGAGGCAAGAACAAGTTCTAGACTAATTGTTAATATGGCTTTGTTGTTTGTAAAGTCACCAACTAGTATGTGGTTCAAGGTCGGCTTGTCTGAGATGTAAAGACTAAAGAAAAGGCGAGCAATTACTGCATCTTGGGGGTACAATGGCTTTTATTTCTGATGGAGAAAAGAAAGAAAACCTACAGATACGGAGAAGTAGCAATCTTGAAGGTAGGATGTAAGGATTAGATATTAATGGCTATGAAAGAGGAGTTTCAGTATGTAGAGAAGTCCTAAATGTCTAAATTTGTCAAATACTTTAAGACATTGATAAATTCATCAGGCAATAGTTTTTCTTCTGAGAAAAATAAAAATTTGTCAACCAGGTGATGAATCAGGTGGATTGTTGATTAACTGTTATGAAAACCAAATTGAGAGTCAGGTAGTGTTTTGGCTTTCTTAATTATTGGCTGTAAATATTTGAGTATTTTTTCAAATAGTTTAGAGCAGTGGTATTATGATTTTTAAGGGGTACGAATGTGGTCAACAAACCTTTAAATTTAAATTATTTATGTGGAAAAAGGTTATTCAAGTTTAACTTATATTAAAAGTAAATATAGAAACAAATTAAATGTTGAAAATGATTTAAAATTGTATTTAACTAAATTAGAACCCAATATTGATCAACTATGCCAACAAAAACAAACTCACCCTTCTCACTAATTTCTTTGAAAATAAGCTCATTTTGTTTTTCACATTTTTTGTGTTAGTTTTCAATGAAATAAAAATGTATGAAGGTTTTTAAATTTTTTTATATTTATTTTAGTTTACTAACTAAGAAAGTGTACTCAAAAAAAAAAATATTGATAAAAAGGGGTACAGTTTTTATAAAAGTTTGAGAATCTCTAGTTTAGAAAGTTGGGCGACTTAAGGGTGGTTTTTTGCTGTAATGTGCAAAGACAAACTAAAAAAAAAAAAATGATGGTTTTAGTAGGAGTATTAAAATATTCCCATAATATAGAAAAATAATAGTTTTTCTGGGTAGATATTTCACCACTTCAGTTATAATTAGGTCAAAACCACAATTTTTTTAAATTAAATCCTTTTTCACTAAAATGAAGGGTAGAGGAGAGTTAAGATAGTTTTCAAATTGTTTGATTTCGGTTGGAGAAATAATATTATAGTGCAGTTAAAAAGTGTTTAATAAGTGATTGGTAAATATATCTGCTTGTGTTTGTTCAAATAATGCCCAACTGCCATCAGTGATTTATAATATAAAGGGGAGATTTTGTTCCTAGAGACTTTCCATAAGAAGGCACCTTTGCCTAGAGAAGTAAAACTAGCGCAAGATTCATATTTGAGATTAGCTAATAAACATTTATACTTCTGGGTAAGTGTATTGTAGTGGGATTTGTCTAAAGTAGGGGTGGCCAACCCATTTGCAAGCCACTTTAGAAACATATTATGATTCCGCTGGCCACATATAAATTTATTAGTATTTTGTCCCAATAAAAAAAAAATTTGGAGTAAACATTTTAAACAGAATTAATAATATTATTACAAAATAAGTTTTAGTGTATTAATTATTTTAAATATACAGAATAAATTATTATTGTTTTTATCACTGGATTCTGAATCCAATTCTTTAAATTGTCGGTGTGGAAGCGCATGTGATTGAATGTAATTCACTGTTTTTATGGCTATTTGCATAACATGGTTCATCGACAATACTTGGGAACAAACATTTTGTTGATGAATTAACAGTTTGTTGCGATTACATTGTTAATAATATGGATTCCGTGTTGTGCGGGCATTCCAGAATATTTTATTGGGACAAAAATAAATTTTTTTCGGTAAATGTTTGATAAATCTCGCGGGTCGCAAACTTTTCAAGGTGGGCCACATGTGGCCCGCAAGTTAACCATACCTGGTCTAAATGGTATCTAGTTCTCCACCATATACGACAAGCACAACATTTTTAAAACATTAAAGTTTATACATAAAATGGGAAATCAAGGAGAGACTTTTCCTGTGAGGATATAGTTTAGGTTTAACTGAGTAAAAGAAAAATAATAAAAAAAATTTTTTTTTATATTAATTAACCAATGAAAATAAAAATTACCAATTTGATTTATTTGTAACTGAACAAATTAAAGACTTTAAAGTTATAAATAATTTATTTTTCATTAAATATTTAAATTACATAGATAAAAAATAATACTAGGATATTTCAACTATTTTACTTAACTAATAACATCGGTTATAGAATAGACTATTCTACAAGCCATGTTAATTTAAAATATCGACCTAAGGAATATCTTAAGTTTTATATCATGTTGATACAAATAGTACTTCTTAAAGATTTCTAGAAATTCTGAATATCACATATATATTTAATATATTTTAATAATATTAAATTTATTTTATTTCCCAAAACTATTTGTTATTCTAAACTATTAGATAAAAATTATATTTTAATGTTGACAAATGATTGTTGAGTTTTTCAGCATAATAATACTAAGCTCTACATAGGTACATCTGTGGTAATATCATACATTACAGTGCATTTTATAAGGAGTTTTCACTGGGCGACAAAAAATATTTTTCCCAATATAGTCAATATAATACCATAGTACGATTATAGTATTACACGTTTGTTTCACATTATTTAGCCCTATCTTTCAAAATATTGTTGACATAGTATAATCACTGGGCGACATTTGTGTCCCCTAGTTAAATAATTAAAAAATGCACTGATATATTATACAAATGTAAGTCCTTAAAATATGTATGCCTTTGCCCAAAAAGTATAACACTGATATCGATTATTGCATTTCATGTATGCATTACATTTAACTTTTTCAAATTTAATAGTCTGGTTTAAAATAAAAACAAAAATGAATAAACATTGTTCGCAAAATACATATTAACTTAAATATGACTAAAAATTAAAAATACATAACTACACAATAAATGATAATTAACATATTCATACGAATTTATAACAATTGTAGAACTTTGAAAGGGAAAAAAATTTGAAACCATGTATCATTGATTTGTTAAATAGTAATAATAACAAGACACTTTCAAGAAAAAATTGCTAAAAAGTATAATTAGAAAATTCAAAACTAATTGCCATTTTCATACCGTACCTAAAATAATTTAGTAGTTTTAATGAAATTATCATACAAAACATTATAATTATCAAACTTGGGGCAGATTATAAAATTGTTTAACAAGTAGATATCTAATTGGAATTATTGAACACTATTTTCATTTTCCAATATCCAATCAAACTCACTTTTAAACTTCATGTTTAAAAATCGAGTAGTCTAATCAATAAATTAGATATTGTAATAGAATACCAGTATCAATGTTTACACCAATGATAAAAGATAGATAGTATATTCACAGAAGCAACTAAATAAAAAACATCCTGTTATTATTTTAAGTTTGATTTTAGATTTAATTCAACGATATTTTTATCAAAGATAATAAATTAAATAATATGTTATATTGTACTAAGTTTAAGTGGACAAGGTACGACGTAACTCGTAATGAGATATGTATACACGCATGAGAATGCTAGTATTTTGTCAATGACACGTATTATATTATTATATTGTAAATCACATTTAAATGCCTTACGAGAAATCGATCAACACGATATAAAAAAACGGTTTTGTACAAATGCGTTACACAAGACGATCAGAATCCGTTATCATGCTTGTTTTTTCATATGCACAAATGTATTAAAAAATTTAACAATACGAAATCGGTATAACCTACAAGAGCTGGCACGTAAATTTTCGGAACAAAACACAATCATTTTTAAAATACGCAACTGACAACAGACCAAGGTCATAGAAAATTCAAACTAAGTGTGTGTGTGTATGTGTGTGTGTACGCGTGAGGTCCGTTCGTAAAATCGTTAATGTATCTTGAATACTTTCTTAACTACTTCTTAACACTAAACTAAGGGCAACGTCGCAATGGTAATAACCCACAATAATGTTAATGTCGTCCGTAAGGATAAAATCGTAATTCGTAACTAACCCATCAATGCCAATGACACGGGACGGGCAATTAAAGAATAAAAAATCAAAAGAATTCGAAAAAGAACAAATCAAATTAAATTAAAAAAAAAGCAAGCCAGAAGCAAACATAACGCGCGCTCTCACCTATTCATTTATCGATCAGAAATAGAAACAACCGTTGTGATTACGACGCAACGGCCAACAACCGACATTCCATTTGATTTTGAATAGCCAACTGCTCGAAGCTTCCGGCCGTCCTTATGATGGCTAGGCGAACGGGCATTGCATTTAACGGACGTTTGTTACAGGTACACCGTAGTGTTCGTTTGTGGCGATCACCGTGGCTGTGTGGACTCGAACGCGGCCAAACGGCGAGGCGGATAGCGCATTCGAAAATCGAAAAACGGATGGAAAACAAAAATATTGTTATTATTCGTTGTTTTTTTTCTTATTGTTGTCCGTACGAACTGCGATGCGTTAACGCTAGATGCTGCTGCTGCTCCTACCGCGCCATCCGATCGCTGGTTGGCCCGTTGGTTTCCGCTGGAGATGATTGTACCCGTCCGTTCGTAAAGTTGTAACGTTCGAGTTCCGGGCCCCAGTGTTACCGGCCTGGGGCACACCGAATTCCCTGGGTGGGCGAACTCGTGACTTCGCCGTCGTTACTGCCTCGCGACGCACATGACGACGTGTACTACGTGCACGTGCTCCCATCTGTTGGCCATGCATAAAACGTACACCGAAATAATCAGTAATTCATATTACTATTGATTATAGAATAGACTACCCTTGTTCCGTCAACTTTAATTATGACTTTTGCATTATTATCGCAATCGATATTCAAAAATCGCATTTCAGTAAGGAAATAGGCAGATTAACAGGGTATACCGAGTATGCCAAGGCACACTTTAAACATTTTCGGCCATTCCTGTGACAATTTTTTCTTTCGAAATAACGTTTTCGAAATTGACTTACGTGAGTTGAAGTACTCAAGTTGAAGTAAACTATGAAAAAAAATTCAATCATATTGTATGTCAAAGAGGAATTAAAAGTTAAAGTTAAAACTTCTAAAGTTACTTTCTGAAAAATTTAAAAATATTGTGCTATTTCATACCCTATTGTTATTAAAAGTTTAAACAATTATTATGATACATAAATTATACTACTATAATAAAAGTAAAATTACAAGCAAAGCCTTAGAAATAGTTAAAAATATTTATTTTTATTTTTTTATTTCCTATGGCATGAATATCAAACACATAACACACCATTAAATTTTTAACTGTAACAAATAATAGAATAATAAAATAAAATAAAACAAAATAAAAAACAGAATATATCATTCCGGTAACACACATAATATAGTTCTTAGTATAAACGCAAATAAAATAAATCAACATATAATTAAGTATTGTTATAAATAATAATTAGTTATAATTATAAGTTTAAGTCAAGTTCTTTTAGCCATTCTATTGCCTCTTTGGTAACTTTGTGGATTACTTCAGTCCCTTATTCAAATAACCTCCTGGGACAAGATTCCACAATGTGTTTCATGGTTTGTTTCACTTCCCCACAATCACACGCTGCACTATCTTTGTAGCGCCATTTGAATAATAAAGATCCACATCTTCCCTGTCCTATCCTAATCCGATTTATTGTTGTCCATTTTTTTATTGGTAGTAACAAGCCTTCCATATTTTGTCCGGGTCTAGTAATAAGATCTTTATTTGTAACATATGCCCACTCTTCATTCCATGATTTACTACTACAAAATTGAGTGTTGATTAAGTTCTTTTTTTTTTCGACAGCTTATATAATATAATGTATGAGTTCGGCTTCCATAGGAAATTCATATCACTGACGAAAATGTGTACGGACGGAACAAGATACTAAGTTAGAGTGAATTATATATTATCTGAAGAATTTGAAGTAATAACAGGGCTTAAGCAGGGTGACGCACTATCGCCAATGCTTTTAAACATAGCATTAGAAAAAGTATTACGCAGTGTACAAAGTGTCACTGGTGGTTGGGGTTAGAATAGACCACCGGTTTGTCCCTGCCTGTCGTAAGAGGCGACAAATGGGACTTGTAGGAGGGCAGCAGCTCCTACAATATTGAGTGTAGGTGCAGGTAACCTCGTAGAGGTAGAAACAGCTACACGTCAAATAATAAACAGCAGATATGGCAGCCATATAACTGGTGATTACACTGCGATGCGGAAGGCAAATAGGAAACCACCGCATTAATATTCCTTAGTTAAAGCAATGAACATGACGTTTTCTCAAGTAAAAGATTCCGGAGGTAAAATAGTCCCCCGTTCGGATCTCCGGGTGGGGACTACTAGAGAAGAAAGAATGGTCAAGAAAAGTAGACAAGATAGAAAAATAGCAACCTGGAATGTACGAACCCTATTACAATTTGGGAAACTGGATAATCTAAAAATAGAAATGGCAAGGATGAGCATTGATATTCTAGAAATTTCGGAAGTAAGATGGCTTGAAACTGGAGATATATGGAGTGGAAATTATAGATTTATATACTCAGGCACATCTGTTAAGTACCCTGGAAGGGGAGGAGTTGGCATAATGCTTAGAAAGGACATTGGAAAGAAAGTGAAAAGTTACGTGCAGTACAGTGAAAGGATTATTCTTGTTAAAATAGAAACCAAACCAAAAGACACAATCATAGTACAAGTCTATATGCCAACCTCCAACAGTAATGATAGCCAAGTAGAAGAAGTATACGAACAAATAGAGAAAGCTATTGATACAATCAAAGGAGAAGAAAATCTGATCATCATGGGAGACTGGAACGCAATAGTAGGAGAAGGAAAAGGAGAAAGAAATATTATGGGAAAATATGGTCTGAGAAAAAGGAATGATCGGGGAGATAGACTGGTGGAATTTTGTGCAAAACATGATCTGATAATAACGAATACATGTTTCAATCATCACCCAAGGAGAAGGTACACATGGAAAATGCCAGGAGATGTGGGAAGGTATCAAATTGATTTCATCATGGTAAAAAATAGATTTAAAAACCAAGTCAAAGATAGTCAGAGTTATCCTGGTGCGGATATAGACAGTGACCACAATTTGGTCATGATGAAATGCAATCTCAATTTTAAAAAAATTAAAAGGAGAGGAAACACCAATCGATGGCAAACTAGTAAACTAAAGGAAGAAAAAGTAAATGAAAAGTTTAAAGAATACACAAATAAAATAAAAACACATGAAGAACAGGACATTAACACCAGGTGGACTTCCTTGAGAGAAACAACTACAAATGCAGCAACTGAGATAATGAAAGAAACAAAAAGCACATTACCGAGGAAAGAATGGATAACACCAGAGATTATTGAAATGATAGAAGAGAGAAGGAAGTATAAAAACTTAAACACTAATGAATATCAAAAGAGATACAGGACTTTAAGAAACTTGATCATAAGGAAATCAAAAACAGCAAAAGAAAAATATCTAGAAGGAAAGTGCGAGGAAATAGACATTTTGATACGAATGGGCAAGATAGAGGAAGCATATAAAACAGTAAAAAGGTTCTTCGGAGTACGTACACTCAAAAATGGAGCAATAGAAAATAAAGAAGGAGAGATAATTTATGAACAGGAACAGGTTGTAGATAGATGGAAAGAATACATAGAAACACTATACAAAGAAGAAGAACTGTTTGTTACAGACTTAGAAAAGATAAACGACAATGAGCAAGATGAAGAATATGTAGAATATCCAATATTAAGAGAAGAATTTGACAAAGCATTAAGAGACTTAAAACCAAAGAAAGCACCGGGAATAGATGGGATCTAGGCCGAACTTTGGAAGGAAGCAGGAGAAAATATGCTGAATGAATTATTTAAACTCATTAGAGATATTTACAGAACGGCGGATATACCTACCGACTTTGTAAAGAGTGTAATTATTCCCATACCAAAAAAGACATTCGCTATAAAATGTGAACAATATCGAACCATTAACTTACTATCGCACGCCTCAAAGATTCTAACAAAAATTATGTATAAAAGAATGGAAAGGAAAATAGAAGACATATAATCAGAGGACCAATTTGGATTTAGAAAAAATATGGGCACGAGGGAAGCGATATTGGCTTTAAGATTAATAGTGGAGAAAAGAATAAGGAAAGATAAGTCAACGTTTATTGCCTTTGTTGATATTGAGAAAGCATTCGACAACGTTAACTGGGAAATAATGTTTAAAATGATGAAAAGAGCAGAAATTGCAACAAAGGAAAGAAAATTGCTCTACCAACTGTATAAAAATGAAATAGCAATTATAAAAATAGGTGATATTCAAAAAGAGTCCAAAATAAAGAAAGATGTTAGACAGGGATGTACATTATCACCTTTAATATTTAATGCCTATATACAAGAGGCCATAGATATCATAAGAGAGAGAATACAACTAGGAATAAAGGTAAACGGTTACAAAATAGACATGTTGAGATTCACAGACGATATTACAATAATAGCGGAGAACGAAAAAGATCTAAAAACACTTTTAGAAACATTGGAACAGGTGATGGAAAAAGATTTACATATGAAAATAAACACAAAGAAAACGAAAGTACTCGTATGTAGTAGATACAACAGCATAAGAACAAGTATAAAATTAAAGGATGGTGAAAATATTGAACAAGTAGAAGACTTCTTGTATTTAGGCAGCACTATAAGCTCAGATGGGAGATGCAAAAAAGAAATTATAAAAAGAATATGCCAAGCTAAAGTGGCATTTAATAAGAAAAGAAATATTTTTACTTCAAAAAGCATTGACCTCAATATCAGGAAGAATCTGCTAAAAACGTACATCTGGAGCATTATGTTATATGGATGTGAAACATGGACGGTTGCAAAAGAAGAAATGAGAAGAATAAAGGCATTCGAAATGTGGTGTTACAGGAGGATGCAAAAGATAAGTTGGACTGATAGAATCACTAATGAAGAAGTTTTAGAAAAGGTATCGGAGAGGAAATCAATGTGGAAGAGTATACAGAAAAGGCGAAACGAATTAATAGGTCATATTTTAAGACATGATGGGCTGCTATTACTAATCTTAGAAGGTGTAATCGACGGAAAAAACCATAGGGGAAGACCAAGATTGCAATACATAAGTCAGATAATGGAAGATCAAGGATGTAACTTATACCAAGAATTGAAGAGAAAAGCTAGTGATAGAGAAGCATGGAAATTGCTGCAAACCAATCATTAGATTGAATACTGCAGAGAGAGAGAGAGTGTACAAAGTAATAAACTCGGAATTAATATTGACAAAACCACGCTAGATGTGCTAGATTTTACAGACGATCTAAATTTAGTAGAAGAAAACAAGGAAATGGTAGAGTGAAATAACAAAACACTCATACAGGAAGCAAAAAAAATTGGTCTAGAAATAAATGAGGAGAAAACCAAAGCAATGGAAACGTTGGCTGAAATAGATGAGGAAGACCTTACAGTAGATAATTACGTATTTGAGAAAGCACATAGCTTCAAGTACCTAGGTGTAACAATCACTGGTCACAACGACTGGAACACAGGATCGTGATTATTGAAGAGAAATGACAGTGGCAGCCAAAACTTTTACAGAGTTTTATTAAATTATATTATATTAAAACAATAGTTTTCAGGTTGGTTTAATCGTAGCTCAGATAACAGATTTTCACAATTATATTTATTTCGCTTTTGCAATCTCTCATAAGCCCAAAACCTCTGCTTCCGTTTTTTCTTCCTTTTATCAAGAAAAGAAATAGTTAGAGCAAGAGCTATTATAATATTGTCTAAATTATCAGGCATAATGGTTTATAATTAAAATGAATAAATTGTTTAAAGCAAATTTAAATCTGATTTACTATTTTATAACGGACCTGGTAATTTGATTATGATATTATGTTTAATAATTTTTCAATAATATTGACAAGGCTGGGCAAGTTAACTAATTATTTTAACTCGTTAAGTTAAGTTAATACAGAAAAATGTGAGTTAAGTTTAAAGTTAAAATTTAGTTTTCTTATTTATTTAACTCGTTAAAAGTTAAAAGTTAATTTGAAAAAAAAAGTAACTTAACTTAGTTAAAAATAAGTTAATTTTCTTTTTTTATGTACAATATATTATCATACATTTTTATCAAAGCTTAACAAATAACACAATATAATGGAAGTCTAACTATTTTCAATAAACATATGTAATTGTATTAATTACAGTAGGTACTTAGTAAGTACTAAATATAATTTTAAATATATGAAATTTATATTAGGACAAATTAATAAATTAACTCGTTAAGTTAGAAGTTGTTTAAAAAAAAAAAAGAAACTCGTTAAGCTGGAAGTTACTTTTGAAAATAAAAGTAACTCGTTAAATAACTTAGTTAAAAGTAACTTAACTTTTTAACTTAACTTTAACTTTTTAACTTGTTAATGCCCAGCCTTGAATATTGATACATTGATGGTCATCATCAATGTTCGTCAATATTTTTTCAATAATATTGAATGTGTATGGGCCGCTTCTGTGTAAGACTCAGAATTCTATATTAGTATAGAAGTCTGTGTTCTAAGACCGTGGTTGTAGCAATACATTGATATCACACTACCACGGAATACCATCTACGTCTGTTAATATTATTGTGGAGGTAGACGCGTTATGATTGTGATTGCCTCCAACTATGCACATTCTCAAGTCAATAAAATTATAACCAAAAACACGCCGAATTCTCATAATATACACATCAAAATTCAAATTTTCGATATGAAGAGAATAAATCATTATTTTAAAACTAATAAATCTGAAGAAAATATTTTAGTTACATATTCTACTAAAAAAAATAAAACATTAGAAAACGACGAACAAATACAAATTGATGATAATAAACATTCCATTAATAATAAGTAGACTCTTAATACTTTTTTTCATTCTACCTTTAATTTGAATTTTAATATTTTGGTAGGTATTTCAGATTTTTATTTTATTATATTATTATTTTGATGACTGTACCTTTTTAAGTTTCAGAAGAATTAGATATTGGAAATTTGTTTGGATTAAATATAGAATACTATACTAAAGCTGTCTTGTTAAAACGTTCAAATATACCAGATGAACATTTTATTTACCCATTTTCCATTCATAACAAAAACGGTGGTTTTGTGGTGTATTGCAATTTTTAAATAGCCCCCCCCCCCCTGATAAAGCTCCAACTACGCTACTGAATTAGAATAGTTTAACATATCCGTGGTTTTGCTAATCAGGTGAACTTATGTATTATGTAATTGTTATTGTGTAACTATGCGGGATGCGATAGCATACTGTTTCTAGTTGGCACGCTTAAAATTCCAGCGAGGTTTGAGAATTGACCATTGGTATTTGTAAGCCGTATATTATAATTACTTAATTACTTCATTTAATTACTTAAGAAGTATAGACAAATCCAAATAGTTGGTTTCGACTTATTTCTTTTGGATCGTTTGTGTTTCGGTTCGACCCCGATCAAATCTCGCGTAAATCTCTCTATAGACACGCAGTAGTAAACCGTTCGTGGTAAATGATATTGCGAATTTCGTGCGGTCCCGGTGGGCCGCATCGTATTCGTCAACGGGTCCAGTTGACCGTAACGCCGTTTCGACAAGTTGAAATAACGCCACCAGTATGTCGGGGCCGCGGCTCTGAAATCTTCGTGTGTCGTTTTGAATTCAAAGTTTTTCCACGCACAACAGCTTCTACAAGGCCATGGCGTTGTACCTCAAGTGCTTGGGTCCTGGACGGAATAAGGGAAACACGGAAAACGATCGCGATCCGTTTTGCAGGAACCACGTTTCCAGTTTTTATGCGAAAACGAAACCAGCGGCCACCTATTTTTCTCTAGGTCCACGCAACCATGGTAATCCGGGGGCAGACCAAAGTTTCGAGCAACTCCGTGATTTCCCAGCTGCAGGCGACTCGATATTCTTGAGAAAACAGTTTTTTGTAAACACTTCCAAACCCATTTGTGCGTCCGGCCTTTGTATCGCAAGTACACGTAACGCACCACTCGATCGTACAGGTGCACGCAAACGCAATTCTTCATGGCCATCTCGTGTTGTACGGCAATAGATTGGATTATGTACAACCGTAATTTTCCGTCGTACGTTTTGCGCAATACGTGCGCTTCGCGCAAAGCGAAATATTCGGCGTCCAGCGGCACACATTTTATACGTTAACGTATGCTCTACAGCTGATAATAAAAATCGAGCAAATGGTTATGCGTAAACGCCGAATTCTCGGTAAACGCGTTGCCGCAATCTTCAGAGTGTAATAGTTTCGTATAATGATAGTGTACGTATACCGAAGCCTCGACGGCCAGAGCCGACACTTCGAACACGTCCGCGGCTATGCGCTTGCATAACGCCGAGTCCGGACAAAACTTGCGGAAACTCTCTTGAACGGTGTATGTCGATACGTTTTTATTTGTCGTAACCGAGGTAAATCTTTGCTTTTGCGACAATACGCGCTGCGAACATTTGGCCGACGACGCCCGTACGTGATCGGTCTGACCACAGCGTTTGCACGACGACGACATTATCGCGAACGTGCGTGAACTGAGGAAAACACATACAACGAGAATAACCTAAAAAAAAATAACAAATAAACATCGTTTCTTGTATTTTATTTGTAGACATTTATCACTGAATGAGTTAAAACCGCGAGTGCTGAAAACTTTGACTAATGTCGACGTTCAGCACTCAACGTATTAAAAGGACCGTTTACGTTTGTCATTTCAAAGATAGTGTGTTACTCTATGTGCTTGATGAGCCTATGGGTATCAGTGCC